TAAAATGACAACGTCTAGCGTCTTAAAGCATGGACAATATTGTTTAACTAAAATAAATATTCTAAAAAAATATAGGTAGATATACTCGAGCAACGAACAGCGCGATTCTTACACAGTCTTACTTTTACAACTAGTTACATATCTAAAACGATCTTTAAACGATACGGTAAATAATCCGTGACATGCATAACGTAATTAACATAAGAAGAATTGAACTTAGATTGACAATAATGCAATTTGTACGAATACGGAATCGTGGAGACACTAGACACTTGATTATGCATTTTAAATGAGTAGGCTAGGTACGTGCGTGCTGATAGCATTCTTTTTCACAGTTATTGCGAGGTTTCATGCCAATAGGTAAAAAAAAGTAACTAGCGTACCTATTTGGCAAAATAACAATATACACATTGCTACTAAAAACTATGTAGGTAGGTACTTATTTTGTGCCAAAAGTATAGAACGATATGCTCTAACATATTTAACAATAAAACTTGTAAAAGCATGTATATACTGTAATACTTTAAAAAAAGATTCATTTAAATTATGTGGATATAAAGTTAAACATATAATAATAAATTTATAATCAAAATGATACATATATATATAATAGGTACCAAAAACAATTGTTGTTATACGCAATATATTTTTATATGTGTTTTGACATTTAAATTAATTAATTTTTTTTACTTTTATTTGAGCAACTCAATAATCTGTAAAATGTTCTTAGTACAATAAGTAAAAAAGATAGAAATTTATATTGATAGTTGTGTAACTTCAGTGGAGATATCATGCAGTAGATAACATTTAGATTACATAAAATTGTAGGTTTAGAAATAATGATAAATTTGTTAATTTGAAGTCAAATTTTGGATTTTTTTTGTTAATATCTAAAACAATAATATATAATATCTAAAAGAAATAAATTTAAAATTAAACAAAAAGCTATCAATAAGTTTTAATGCACCTATATTTCAGTCTTTAATCTGTAAAATATTAATTATTATCTCTTTTTTTTCAAAAAATGTTTAAACAATTTAAAATGATAACTAAACTTTACAAATAGTTTTTAATTAACAAATTAAATATTAATATTTTTTATAATTGTAAAAAGTAAAAATCTTTTTAATTAATTAAAGAATTTTTTTAATTGCTTTTTTGTATCAAACATGTTAATTTAATAAACAATTTAAATAAAAATACATTAATATAAATAATAATAATTAACATTTTAAGTCGTGTTTAAAATAAAAAATTCTATGTAATAATATTATAGTTCTTATAAAAAGTTTTGTTGGACTTAGATATATTATGTCTATCAAGTAAATTAAAAAGAATTAATATTAACTGCCTGGAATTTAATAAAATTCTTTTTATATTTCTTAAACATTGATCTTAATTTTTTCAAATATAATGCATTTCAAGACTTGGCAACCCCTGTTTTTTAAATAATTCATTATAGTGATAGTAAAATATAACTGTTCTAAGATATAGAGTGAAAATGTAATTTTTAATACACAAAATATATTACTTAAAGATTAATATAATTTATGCACATTTACTGAATTTATTGTTTTAACACATAAATTGTTATCTTAATCTTTTATTAAAATGACATATTTATGACTATGTATTTAAACATTTATAATTGATATAAAATATCATACAGAATTATAATATAAACATAAATATTAAATGAAATTAATTTAAAATCAAATAATAATTTATAAAATTTAATTAAAATTTTCACTTAAAGTGCCAATTTTATGCCATGATTAGATAAAGGTATCGTCTATCGCTGAAATATATATGTTGATAATTTTATATAGAAAAAAAGTATTCAATATATCCTATGAATAAAACACTTAACGAGAGTATAAACACTATAAACCAATATTAATATGGCACTATTTAAATCTTGATGAATATCATGTATTACAAATATAAATAAGTAAAAGAAAATTATTATCCAAGAAAATAATATGATTCATAAAAGTTAAATACTTTTGCATACATTCAACTATTTAGTATGAAATTCAGTAATTTCCATGTAATATATTATATTGGTTTTCTTAGATTTAATTTAATGTGTTCCAGAAACACTAAATTACACAAAATATGTTTAAGGAAATTACCTAATTTTGTTGAATATTTTTATATTTCAATTTTAATAAATTGCACGAAACGTGAAATTTTAATGCTTTATAATATATTTAATAAAATATTTATATTGAATTGTAAGTATTATGCTTGATGTCAAAGTGTAAAATTATATTATGTATACTACTTTATTTTTTTTGTGTTACATAGTACACTTTGGCTTTTAGGTAATATGAAATAGACTACATGGGTATACATTCATACATTAAATAGGAAAGTTATAATTATTGTTTATATAAACTGGGACTACAAAAATAATACTAAAACAAATGAACATTAGCCATTAACCAATCTTCAAACTAAAGATATGCAAAAACAATTGCACCAATATTCCAGATAATATAACATAACCATATAGTAGGCTCAAAAAATATGTTTCATATAATGTGAACAATTTAAGTATTTATAAACTCAAAACTCTAGAAGCAGCACATGGCCTCAAAACAGATTAAATTTGAGTTTTAGAAAATCATTAAAATGTATTATAAATTAGTAGTACTTTTTGTCTAATTACATTGTAATGAATTAAACAATAATAATTTAGTTGTTATTCATTCATTTTTTCTCTGTTTTAATATATTATCAAATAAATTAATATAATATTAAATTGTTTTAATTTCTACTACCTATAACAAATGATTATAAGTTATAATTTATAACTATACCATAAATACAAATTCATCATTAAACCAAATAAAAATCCTCATTAATCAACATTTATTTAATTTTAAAAATATAACTAGCATCATCCATTTAAACCTACTTATAGAACAAAATTAATATTTATTTTTGATTACTGTAACCAAAATAGTAAGTAAATACATACCTATTTGGTTTTAAATTACAAGTTTTTTTGTAAATAATTTAATGAATTTGTTTAGTTTTATAAATATACTAATTATTCAGTTAATCAATTATTGACTTACTTTTAGCAGCATTTAACAAATCTTTTAGTTCCTTAATTAAACGTTTGATTTGTTGATTAGTTTTCTGCAATTCTCGTTCATGATCATGGAGTTTTTGACGAAAATATGGGCTGTCTGTAATACAGTCAGAAAATTCTAAAGGCTGTAATCCAATCACCATTTTTATCGATAAAAATCATTCTGAAATAAATAAAACAATTAACAAATCAAGTTAATATGACTAAGATAGACAATAAACAAACTACATAATAACCATAAATGATCGTTTATATTTACTAACTTACCAGTTGTAAAATAATATAAAAATAAAATTAACAATATTAGGAACTCGAATATGAAATATATTAATTTTTTTTTTCAAATACAAATGAAAACTTTTTAGGAAACTGGTAATGCAAACAACTTCTTGGCGTTATCGTGTCCAAATAGGAATTAAAAACAAGAGAGACTGATAACCTATTAACCTAAAATGCATATTAGTGTTGGTACAATCGGTATCAACGGTTACGTTATTGTGGTTAATGAGTGATAAATAAGTATAGATACCACAGCAGCTGTATAATAAATAATCATTGACCTTATACTCAGTATAAGGTCTATGTAAATAATAGATTAAATTTCTTCTATCGTTTTGTGTAATGTTGATAGCCAATGTGATAATAGTATAATTAGATAACGCTTAACAGATATTTCATTATTTTATCATTTGTACCACGGTTCACGAATCCTATCTTTATTAGTGATTTGTACACATCATAATTTGACAATTTTAAAATTTTTTAATAAATACATAAATTGCTGTGATAATGAGTTACCCAAAGACATAATTCTAAGTGTATTGTGTAACTATAAGTTTCAATAAGTAAAAAGTATGTTTATGGAAAATATAATACCAATAAATCTTAAGTTTACCAATTAACAAAACAATATTGATTTCAGCTATGGATTTTCGTACATTAGAAAACGAAAATCTTCCACCCCTGTCGAGTACACCTACCGAAATACCATTGCCCAAATACCCAATCTGGACCGTTGAATATTTTCAAAAGTATTTCGATGTCACTTCAGAAGACGTTCTTGAGCGTATTAAAGGAGCATTGATCCCTACTTATGGAGTTAACTACTTACAACGGTACATCAGAGCAAAACCAGATGTGTATGGTCCGTTTTGGATATGTTTGACCCTGGTGTTTTCTATAGCCATCAGTGGAAATGTTGCAAATTACATACAAGTAGCTGCTGATCATGACTACCATTGGAAATATAATTTTCACGCTGTATCCTCGGCAGCCACAGCAATATTTTTATATGCTTGGTTATTACCATTAATGCTATGGGCCTTTGTCAAGTACAAAGAGCCACAGGTAAGGGTGATAATCATATAATTTAACCATTTATTTAATGTTCTAAAAACTTAATGTAGGTGCATTTTATTTGCATTAAGAAAAAATCATAAAAATTTACAAAATAAAATTTAATTTTTATGTTGCATTATATGTATTACCTATATAATTATTTTATAATCAATGTTTTTAACCATGTTTAATAAATATAAATATATTTGTTTATCTAGTTTAATCTAAGCTACTTGGAATTGCTGTGTTTGTACGGATACTCACTGTCAATATTCGTGCCAATTTCAATTCTATGGGTTATTCAAATCAATTGGTTGCAGTGGCTTTTAGTTGCAGCCGGCACACTAGTGTCAGGTTATGTAATTGTATTTTCAATCATGCCTTCATTAGGACAGAAACCTTTTGCGTTTATATTCTTAATAACTATCTTACATTTGTTTATGGGAACAGGATTTATGCTATATTTTTTTCATGTCCCACCAATACAGAAGTCTTGAAAAAAAACTAATCATATTTTTATGTTCATGTATAATATAATAATAATAATAATAATAATGTATAAATATTTAAAATACTTATATAATATATAAATGATAAATTGAAATACATATTACAAAACAGTATGTGTCCATTTTAAAATGGAACAACTAAATCACCCTTATGTTCAACACTCATCATAGATAACTGTCTTTGTATATTGTTTACACAAACCATTATGTGACGATAGTTTTCTGGTAGTCCTATATTTCTTGTCAATACCTTCTCTGGACCAGGAACATCTTTCAGTAAACACATGGGCATTTGTCTCAAACTAACAATAGTATTAGCTACAGATGAAAGAGGTACAATTTGTAGTTTAGCACAATAAAGGTTTTGACGTTCTATCACCTCTTGTTGGTCAATACAATTGTGCAATTGACCAACGTCAATAACATTTCTAAAAAAAAAAAGTAATAAAATTAATAAAAATGAGACCTAATTTTTTATATTATTACTCCATTATATTTACATTTTATAATCAATATTATCTTTGAATAAAATTTAAGACTATTATCATGCATGATAAATAAATGGTACCTAATAAAAGACATCATTATTTTGGTAACATTTATTATATAAATTTTTGTTTATAAGTAGATGTTTTTACTGCAGTGAAAATCGGGTTGAAATTAGTGTTTAATTCACTTGGTATTCATTTAAAAATAAAAACCTTAATTCATAATTGTATGAAATTATAATGTAATGTATTGTATTACTAATATTTAATTTTAAACCCAACTAAGTACCTATAAGAAATTTTGTGAATAAATATTTTTAATGTTTATTGTTATAAATTTGAATACACTATATTATACAATCCTCTTTTAACTTGATAGTACAATATTGGCTGTATAATAAGCAACATTTTCATAGGATTATAAAGTTGAATATTAAGCACAAGTAAGTAATGATAATAAATTTAAAATATTACATGAATAAAGATGTAATAAAATGTGTTATTGTATCTAAGACATAAATCAAAGTAGACATATTTACTATGACAAAAAATTATAATATAATATCAAAAACTCACGATGATATTTCTTCTAATATACGATTTAATCCAGCTTGTTCTTCAGATTCTTTGGGTAGTGATCCATAATGGTAGTCCTCCGGTATACCTCCACGTTGAACGCTTGTGTTGTTACAATCTGGATCAATTAGCAAGTGAGTTCGTTCATGATCAATAGTCTATGCAAAATAATAACAATAATAACCAAAATTTTACTGTATTTGCTGAGCAAAATTAATAATTCCTATGAATTCTTACGCCGTAAGCATCCTCTTCCTTGCACCAACTACAACACGCTCCCATGGCTAATGGGTGTGATCACAACAAACTCCAACGACAAAGCAAGTTGAATGTTATACTTTAACACAATACAACAACAGTATCAATCATATTCATACCATCAGACGCGAGGAGCGTATCAGTACAAATGTGATTTCACGGAAAACATAATATTATTAGCCAATACCCTGGGAAAACTAAGATTATTTTACAAAGTTAACTTTTCAAGTAACAAAACATTAAAATAATCCGACTTATAAAATATAGTGATAATCAAAGTTTAAACATTGGGACATAATTATACAACTATTAATACTACATAGGTTAAAAATGACGACAACGGTTGATAAGAAAATGTGATAACTGATGAGGTACCTACTTCGTGTCAACAATGGACAATTTTTTGTTCAAAATTCAAATTTCAATTAAGTTTTTTCAAAGTTGAACGAATCATAATCGTTAATGATTTATATTTTTTTATTTGATTGCATGATGGTTATGCGTCATGTAAAATACATAATTTTTCGTACGAATTAAATCGTAAAGGGTAAGATGGTTTAAGGTTTTGCGACTTGATATACTTCATACAACATACTAACTTTAATATGTCGACCTGATAGGATTAAGACGAAAACATTATGTATACATTATTTCACGGATTTTACAAGTATATGACACAGAAAGATGAATTTTGGGTTCTCATACTCGGTTTAGACAATGCTGGTAAAACGGTAATAAATTCTTCATTTGTTAACTCTGGCACATTGCCATTTGAGATTCTTATTCATTGAAGTTGTTTTTTTTTTCAGACATATTTAGAATGTTCAAAAACAAAATTCAAGAAAAACTACAAGGGTATCAACCCTAGTAAAATAACAACGACCGTTGGCTTGAACATTGGCAACATTGATATAAACAGAGTGAGCTTGAATTTTTGGGATTTAGGTGGTCAGACAGAACTACAGTCGCTTTGGGACAAAGTATGAGTTTGGATTTATTTTAAATTCTCATATACGATTTACCTAAAATTATATTGATTGCTTTCCATGGAATAACATGAGTACTACTTATAGCTAAAATATTTACTGAATTCTAATACCTATTTATTTTTAGTATTATGCCGAATGCCATGCAATTATATATATTGTGGATTCATCTGATCGAGAGCGCATGGATGAATCAAAGAAAACATTTGGTATGCATTTAAAACATACTGATCATTTTTTATTGATAATTCTATATTTTCTTTTCTGTTTTAATTCTAAAATCCATAAAACAATTAAAATTAACTTATAAAGGGGGTTCCCATTTGCACAAAAAAAAAAATTAATTCGTTTTGGGTACAGCTCGTTTGCACCAAAATAAAAAAAGTATATTTTTTCCAACAGCCCATTTGCACCAAATTTACCTGCGTAAACATTTTACATTAACGAAATTGGTTAATTTGTATACTTAAAAAACTGTGTACTCATGTCTGTAACATATAAAAAAGTTATTTTTATAAATCTATAGATTTTAAATATAACTGCAGCATTTAAACGTGTGGGTATAGAAGACATAAGTATTCATCCTAGGAAAATTATTTAACTGAAATGAATAACTTCACAACTAATTCAGATTTTACTATATTTGATGTATCTGCTGTACGAAAAAGTATTTACCATGCTCGTAAAAAATCTCTTCCTTCAAATCCTAAATCTGTGTCTGATGTTCATAGAGCATTAATCGATCTACATTTCACTACTTTTAAAAACAAAGATTAAAATGTACATTATTGATTATAATTTAAATAAAATTGTATTGATTATTATTTGAGGAAAAAATACATTACTTTATTATAGTAAATTATACCAGGTAAATTTGACGCAAATGGGCGATGTCCCATTATAAATATGATATAATATTTTGTTTGCATTCTGAAAAATAAATTTAAATTTAATATTAATTTTGTTTCATATATTTATAATATTTTATATAAGTCTCAAATGTTAAATTTATTGTATTAAATTTTAATAGAAAAGATGATTTGCAATGAAAACTTAAGTGGCATTCCACTTTTAATATTAGCAAACAAACAAGATATACCTGACTGTATGGGTGTCCGAGAAGTAAAACCAATTTTTAATCAGAATGCTCATTTGATTGGAAGAAGAGATTTTATGGTTATGCCAATATCTGCATTAACTGGGTATTTACTAGTTAATTTTTTTAAGTAGATTTAGAGTTATTATTTTATAATATTTCTGATATAATTTGTTATAGCGATGGCATTGATGAAGGAATTCAATGGTTAGTTCAATCAATTCAAAGAAATATAGAAGTGCGGCCACCAAAGAATGCTGAAGATTATTAAACCTGTGATTAAAATATTTAAACTATAAATCTTAATTTAATGAATAAATTATTTTTTTATAAAATTAAATTATATGTTTTTGAATAAATTATTTTTTTATAAAATTAAATTATTTGTTTTTGAATAAATTGTGTTATTTAATTATAATATTATGTTTCTGTATTGTTATGTATTTAATATTTTACATTTTTGGAGAAGTAAATAATTGTTAGTTCTTAGAAAATTATTTTTAATTTGTATTCTTTACAAAAATTAAGGTTATTGATAAAATGTATCTATTCATTTATTTTAATTTAATGGATCATAATTAAAGAATAGAATTTTTAAGTTTTTACATAACTTTGTGCTATATTAATTGACTTTATACAGCCTAACAAAGGTAAGAAATGTGGATGACTTATCTATTTCAAAATAGTAGAAAGAATTTATTTCACATATTAAAGCATATTTTAGAGATCATATAAAGTTCAGCCTATGTTTCATGCTTAAGTATATAATAATGTATTGTTCATAAAAACATGTTTATTCATTTCTCATATTATTTTAAATGTGACTGAATTTAAGTAATTTACTAAAACAAAGATGTGCAATTAATGGGTGATGATTTTAAATAGTAAACATTTATTAAGTATTCCTAATGTTAACTTATACTATTATACATAGTCACATAGATATGTTTCTTAATTATTGTTGTAACTTATGTACACATTTTAAAACTATTTGAAGTGAAAAAAAAAATCATATTTTACCAATTTAAGGTCTATTAAACGAATATAAATTTGTTTGTTTTTTTTTTGATCATATTGGAATCATATTTTAAACTTTTAAAAACATAAAAATCTACCTTATGAATTTTATTTATCTGTGTACATTGTATCCTTGATTAAATCGATAATGGTTTTAAATACTTTCCTTTGGACTATTATTTGAGTACCTAGATATTATAAAAAAAAATGTCAAGTATTTTTTATTAAATTAAATATTTAAATATTTTTATTGCTTGCATCAATTATTGATAAATAGAATATTTGGGTAACAAATACCTATTTCATAGTTTATTTTAATTTTTTACTTTTGACATAAGGCCCATTTGAAAATAAAACACTTGTGAAGGAAATACAATACACGCTAACACTGCCTTATGATCTTTAATGCCATGACGCTGATCTTAATATTGTGTGTGGTATAAGATTTTAATTTGAGAATATCAGTCGCCTAATAATGAATATAATCATATATTTTTGAATTAATTTTTATATCAGAAGTGGGACAGCTATATGAATATTTTATATTAATGAATAAAAATTATTTTGTAAGTAGGTATTGTGCATTGTTGGTAATGATTTTGTTATGAGAAATTCCTGGTAAACTTATCATATGGTACCTATATTAAAAAATAAAAATTTAAAAAGTACAACAAAAATCTACCTACTAATAAAAAAAAAGTGTACCTACCTACCTAATTTATTAGTGATTAAAAGTCAAAATACATCATAGTACCTATTAATTATGTAATGATATGTATAATTATGATGTATAATTTTATGCTGTTTTAAATATACAAATAAATATACCTAGTTACAATAATTATTATACTTATTTCATATTTGTGTTGAAATTATTTCAGTGGCAATAGTCATATTATTTATCTAGTTTTATTTATTAATTACAACAGCCCGTGTGCGTAAGGTTTTTTACTTCACTCAAACTCTGAATCTTACATTAACTATAATTAATTATAAAGTAATGAACTTAAATGAAATATCGTCTGAACTCCATTGTTGAGAATTTCAAATATCTCCCAAGACGAAAGCGTCGTTTAAATTACTAGCCAGCGTAGGTTATGTTCATCATTCTAATAAGCCGGCATTAGGATTTTGGGTGTTCGTTTATTTTTCCAAAAACCATTATAATTACACAGTCCTGCGAAATATTTTATTTTTTTGTTGTTGTTTGTATAATAATGCTTAATTTTTATAGATCTTAATGCGCAAAATTCAAATCTGAAATCCGTTTGTCTCTATCACGTCTAGTTTTTTTACAATTACGATTTAAAGACAGAATAACATTTACACATAAATAATATATGCAATAGGAATAGACGCTAACTGGTTTCCGTTATGAAGTAAAACACCTTTTAGACTTCTTTTAGATGAATCTGTAAACAAACTCCATACATTCACATCATAATATTTGCCTAAATATTGAATTAACACAGAAATATTATTACCAAATCCTTTAAAAAAATTGTTTGTATTCCATTTCACGATTCCTGTACCAATAAAAAGTAGTACCTTTTGTAAGTAAATTTTTTTCTTTGAGTCTCGAACCCAAAATTTCAATTGCCTCTTTAATTCAATAATTATTGATATTTTATCTGTGTACTATGTATAGATATAATAATAGATATATTATATTTTATAACGAGGATTCCGAGTTTAATTCGATTTGTTCTTATTATTCGTTTTATACTTTTAGGTATCTTTTTTTTTTTAATATATAATATTTTATTTTATTCAATTACATTAAAAAAAAATTTTTTTTAACTTTTGAACATTTTAATATTATGACGTACTTACTTATACATATATTGTCATTTTAATATTATTTTAGAATTTAAATAATGTTGATATATATAATGTATAATATATAATATTATGTTTCATGTTTATGTATATTACATTGTTATATTAGCCCAACCCATTTTCTTTATACTTATAATTTATCACTGTAAAACCATTTTTTCAATAGGTACCTACATATTAAAATAAAAGTTATTGTCTGTAAAATGTTATATATGATTGGTAGTAGTTTAAGACTATTATTGAATTATTCGTAAAAATAAAATCTCTCTCTATAAACATCTCTTTAAATCAACAATACTTAATTACCTATATTAAAACACTAAATTAATGTTTATTAACCGATCTATCATTATTTTGGCGAATATTCCAACGAGTTTACCGTACAGGTCTGTGAGAACGGCTGAACAGTTAAAAAAGGAAAGAACGGCAGACATATATTATAGGGATTTCATTTGAAATATATAGGTATATTTTATTTTTGGCAGGTCAAAACTCAAAGTAAATTGGTGCAAATTCACACACTGCACTTCTCTCAAATGACACCCTCCTGTTTTTATGTTTAGATATGTATTTTTTATACTTTATAAAAAATTTAATTATATTTCTTATATATACTATGAATTATAATATTATTAAATATTGTAATTTATTAGTATATATTATACATAATTATACTTACGTGTAGTATTTATAGTACATTTTTGTATACGAATTTATAGCATAAGAACTAATTTTGAATATATATATAACAGCCCAGCGATACCGCATATATATATAATATCTACACCACGTGTTCACGTCTCGGTCAAGATAAATACAAAACATACTGAAGAAAGAATTTTATAGTTTATATGTACATTATAGGTATAACATAATTTGATGATGCGGCTCACTATCGCCTATTTTATATATATATATATATATATAGGTATAGTTTTATATACAGTAATACTGTAAAATAAATCATATAGTGAAAATAAAATATTACTTGGCATGTTATTATTATAATTTGTATGTTTACAAAGAAATCCTATCTACTTCTTCTTTTCCCTTCTGTCACGATACTATTTGGCCATATGGGGTTGGTCTGCACCCTATTTCTGTACACCTTCATAGGGATCTGTCAAAGCAATCCTATAATACCGTACTGATAAATACTATATGTTTTACTTGATAATCATCCACATTCTTATAAACTGACAAGATCAGCAGATGTGTTTCTTACGAAGTCTATAAAAATCGGCAATTTCAAACTGTGCATCGATTTCACCACACGATGTAATATAGTGTAGCAGGTATACAATACAAAATATGCTTGATGTAGGAGCGTATATGCGTACTACTTTTTTCTTTTTTTAATACGAATTTTATTAAATAATGTTTTTTTGGAAAAAACCTTAAAATCTATAATATTGTTTTTCTTATTCTCAAAAAAATTTAGTGTATTTTATTTCTATATATAGTCGCTGATATTATAATCATCACCAATGTTAGGCCCAGTCTACTGCAAGATGCGATAATAAAATATATTATATAATATTGCATTCAACTGTGACAACTAAAATCTTGATAGTATTATAGAACTGAATAAACATAGGCCTAAATATATTAACCTATACTATATGACCTACTTTTGACTGGAAGATGGTATACAATATAATATAATATATGCGATAAAAAGTGTAAGTAAAATATAAATAGGAACAATTACCTGCATAATAATAAACATAATACCTGTACGTATCTACGGATACGTATCATACAAAATGATTAATTCAAGTATCTATATTTAAATATATTGTATTATATAGGTATGTATACCTATAGGTATATTTATTATGATTATTATCAGTTAAAAATTTTCGAAAGTATTATTTTTACACTTTATTGTAAAACAACATTATTTATTTTTTTTTACCTTGTTTTTATCTACTCTTTACATATGGTTAGGGCCTTTGAAAAAATAATAACTGAGTACTGATAATCTGCACTGCAAGAATATATTTTGACACATGCGCGATTGAACAGCGAGTTGTGTTATAAACTTACAAGGTGTTTTTTTTTTTGTGGTTTATTTCGGTTACATCAAGTTACGTGTTATAGGAAGATTTAAATATTGTAAAAAATGATAATAATAATAATTTATACTGATACTTAAAAAATAATACATCTTCATTTTAATAAGGAAATTTTGGATTGGAAATTGTTAATGCCTTCCATATATACTTATAGGTATGTGCAGCTATATAAGTATATATATGATGCTTTCACCGTAAATCTAGCAGAAACTATTATTACCTTTATATATATTACTGAAACAAAACTTTAATGCATATATATTTATATACAGGATATCTGCATACGTAAAATTAAGATATGCAATAAAGTATAAGCCTGTGCCATAAATATAATATAAATCTATAGGTTCACAAAATCCCAGGAAAAGGTTTGAATGAAATTATATACTATAGTGAATAAACAAAGAATAAATATAAATTATTAAATTTTAGCCATTTATGTATACACATTACATATTTATAATTTTTCCATTTATAATACATTATGCATATATTATTATAACATAAACCTATTTATAAATCCGAACATATATATTATGTACGGGTAACTACGTTAAATTATATATTTATTATGTATAAATTGTATTATATATACATTTAAATATATATATATATATATATAAATATGTTTTTTTTAAATAAAATATTAAAAATTATATTAATTGTATAATAGGTAATATATATATATATTGAAAAATCTTTGAAAAATGTAAAATAAAATTATCGAAAAAAAAATCACAATAACCAAAATAAACTAAATAACCAAAAAAACATAGAAGATACCGTAAAAAAGCGTACATCATAAAATAATCATAAAATAACTTAAAAAAAGAAAAAAAAATATAATAATAAAACACATTGCACAAAATAAGTCGAAAAAAATACACGGAAAACGTACTTACACGAATTAAGTTATTAAAATGTATAATATACATACATATAAGTATATATATATATATATATAATGTAAAACAATTTTACGAATGCTTAAGATTAAACATATTTCCTTAATTATCTTTGGTCACTCTAGCCCAATTTTAAAACTAAAAAAAAAAAAATCGTATTTTCTACACACAAACCTTAAATGTATATATATAATTATATAATTTTATTTACAACATTTTTTTTCGCTCACAGCGTATTTTATAAATATTTATATTGTATAATAAATTAATAAAATACTGAAAAATATAATTATTTAGGCACGTTGAATTCACATAATTTGTCGGTTAAAATAAAAATGAATCATTTTTTTTCCCGATCAAATATAATAATAATTCTAATAATAATAATCGTCATCAACCCTTAGCAAAAAAAGTCCCACAAAACTCGCATTAAAATGACGTTAAGTATATGCATATATATATATATATATATATATATAAACAATATTATGAGTATGCAAAATATTGTATTTAAACATTATCATAATATATGTATATCATATATATATAGGCACAGGCTTTAGCAGAAATGAGTATATATAAATATAATTATCAATACTACCGCCGTCGTCGTTTGAAATAGATAATATAATACTGCTTAGTATATATAATATCATAATAATAATATAGTTATAGAACGTGAGACTACATGTAAGTTTAAACGAAAATTTCGAAAAACGATCGAAATATGTGTGGATAATATTATGTTAACATAGGTATAGATGCGGTGTTGCATTCATCGACGGTTGAAAAAAAAATTAAAATGATTGTACAAAATTTGAATTTAGCGGGGAAGGAGTGTTGTGAGTGATAGCGGTGTTTTAAATATTACATAAACATACGCGATAAATAAAATACCTTTAGGCTAATAATAATATATAACCCGTAAATATTATTAAAATGTTATAACTATAAAGGGGGTTAAGTCGATTCAACAAATTTATAATACTATTTATATACCTATACAATAATAATATAATATAATATATTATAGGCACTAAATTTTTAATACCAATGAATAAATATCAAACAAAATGTAACGGACGTTTGCTAACAATACTATAATATAATATAATATAATATAAGCGGAAATGTTAAAAATGTATTTTTTTTTGTTTTTTTTTCGTATTTATTTGCTTTTGACAAACAATTTAAAAATCTAATAATAAGGTTTATAGTCAAAATCGGCGCTGATTTTTTTAGCTCGCGTAGGTATATATAAATATTTGAATCGATAACAATATACAGTAGGTATTATACGTGAGAATCGAAAGTCAATTATTATTATACATATTATACACATATATAATATATAGAAGCATATGTTTTGTATATGTAATACATATTATATTATAAATTGATTTTTTTTTCAAAAATTTTTTTGTTATTAATTTGTATATTTTATAATTATAGTAATAATATAAGATTTTTTTTATACATAAACATATTAATATTTCATGGAAAAAACACACACTAGAAAACTGACCTATTTACAAAGTTGAAAAATTATTTCATTTACTTTAGTTATTGTCTCTTGTGGTATCATTAATCATACATATTATACGCAAAACATGTATACTTATATTATATATTTTTTTTTCCAAACTTTATACAATATTTATACTATATAATTAACATTTATATAAAAATATAAATTCAGAATGATAACGGCTAAAACACATCACTTAAATTATACATATATATTATTGTTTATTTATTTATATATATATATAACGGCACGGAGTGTGTCGAACAACCCGAAAAATTATTGTCTCGATTATTATATATATATATATTAATTTATATTTTTCACATTTTTATATATATATATATACGTTGACCCTTTTTTAAAATACATATTGCGTTTAAAATTTTTTTTTACAATGTTTTTTTTTTTTTTTTATTATTATTATTGTTTTCAAAACGAATAAAAAAGGGATGGGTGTTACAAAAAAAAAAAAAAACCTAAGGACATTGGAAAAAAAAACGAAAAATAAAAACCGTCAAAATCGAGACGAAAGGTAGAAATAGTAGTAATAATAAAATAGTAGTAGTATTATGTAATAGTAATAGTATAGTAATATATAGTAGTTATTATTATTATATTATAATTATATTAGATAATAATAAAGCGGTATAGAAACGGTGACAATATATACACCATACACATATTTTATATTATTAATCATATATACTGTCGGTTTTGAGTAGATCTGTCGAATTTACTCTCTGTATGGTTTGCAGTACGAGAATCGATGATTCATGTGTTGGCTGTACGAACCCGAATGCGAGAACCGTTTCATACATTTGGAACACTGGAACGGTTTCTCACCGCTGTGCAGCCTCTTGTGCTCGGTCAGATGGTGTTTATGTTTAAACGCTTTTGGGCAAACGTCGCACTTGTGCGGTCTTTGATCTGCAACAATAAAATTATTGATCATTATGTATATTGCCTAAATAATATGTTTATTGCGATTTATGACTGTGGCAGCAGGTGCCTAAACATGCGATGTAGTAATATTGTACTCCTTATTACATGCAGCTTAGTAAAATTTATATAGTTCAAGGGGATGTATTTGTGGTCATAGGAGTTTCAGGCAATATGGAGGTTAATCCAAGTCTTGTAGAAAAGGGGTGGGTGTAATATGAATAGTTTAAAATCCACGCGTGTATTTACGTAGGGGAGAAATCATTAGTTCAACACCCTTACCACAACGCCGTTATTAGCATTGAAGTTAATTATTCTGATTTGAAGTTATAGACTAAAATTCTGCACATTTTTTATGGTTTTAATAAAAACAGTGTTGATTTTAATATTTCAAATTTCAAAATTAACAATAATAGACAATATTAGGTATATAACCTCACATTATCTTGAACATGACTTGATACATGTTGTATATAAAACAATTAGGTATGCATGAAATTTGAATGGCGCTACTATAGTGACGTCACTTAACGTTGGACTGCGATTATAATCACTTTGCTGTTATGATGGTATTGATTACAGCAAATAATTTAATAATAATATATCCCCTACAGACATTGATCTTACGGATAAAAATAAATTATTGAAAAATTAAAATCTAATTTAAATACAAACTGCACAAGGTTAGGGGCGTATTGCGGTATATTATTTATATTAAAGTAAAGGGTAAAAGAAAAATTGATAAATACAATTAATTAATCACACTATATAAACTTTGTAGCGTCTATGAAAAAAGAATTAATATAATATACCATATAGTTATAAAATCATAAATTATTAGACTTTAAAAATAACGATTACAATAATAGTTGTTTCATTGTTAGTTGATTACATCTGTCAGTTTTTTTCGTTAAACTTTGTATATAATGTATATTATATAATTGTTATAAATTCACTACAGCATACCTGGTACATCGGCAGATTCCACAGATGACGGCTTGGACTTTTTGCTGGGCGAACCAACCGCGGCCGCCATTGCGCCATTACTAGCAGTATTGTGGTTGTTGTTTTTGTTGTTGTTATTGTTGTTATTGTGCAGGACACCTGCCCCGCCACCGGTTGACACCGCGTCGTCAGGATCTTGGGATGTGCATCCCGAGTCTTCGGCTTCGTCCGTCATATCGCTCCAGTCTCCGTATTCCTATAAATTTCCAGGGAAAATAGAAATTGTTAGTAAATATAATTCAGTCACACATATAACGATGTCTAAATTTAGCGTAGACGATATGCGAGTACACCGCAAAACGAGTATTATTGCTACCGTAGCAGGCAATTTAATATTATATAGGATAACGTGTACCGTCTGAACGTTAATTAAGTTAACGAGGTAAAATTGAGTGCAATTACGAGAGGTGACATACTCGTACATGTGAATATATAGGTATATAATATATATAATATTAAAAAACGCGTCACGTCGTTAAATGATATACGTAGGTAGAAATATATAGTATACTACGCGTACAATCGTGTAGCAAACCGATCTAAACAACTTATGTACTCCGATCAATCACAAAAGTTTTTGTGGAAAATATTTAAAAAAAAACTGTAAATGAAAAATGTTCAGCAGTGTACCTATACGTATCGAACTGCAGATATAGCTATATAAATAGTATTTTAACTAAAAAGCGATCGTGTAACAATATCATACCGATATACATAGTTTTCGTGTGATTATATTATATAGGTGTATAGAATGGGAGTATAATATAGTTACAATAGGTGCTGAGAAGATTTGACGAAAAAATTTTTTCGCCTACATGGAATATGATTAGACGTAGTCTGTAGGCCTGGTAAGATACCGATTACCAATAAAGGTATTATAAAGCTATATTATTGAAGCCTATCACATAAAAACATGCGTTTAATGTGTATATCTATATATACTATTTATCGAGTATCGGTTTTTTCGAATATAAAGTAAAATCGATCGAATTCTGGTATAGTATTGTTCTAAAATATCCAAAAGAAATAAACCGTTTTCAAATTTCATATACTCTAGAAATTTATTATAATCAAATCACATTTACACAAATGTAAGATATATTTTATAGACACACCACATGATTTTTATTATTGATTTTATCATATCGGATATCGGTTCGCGGACGAAATAAAATATCGAATCGGATATCGATAATACCGGAAGTGATATCGCGGTACACCATTAAAACACTGTACCTATATATAATTGCATTATACATAATTGTAAATAGTACTCACTCTCTTCCACGAACGTTTCTCGGACGCAGGGCTCAAGCTGCCGTTGTGCCGGAGCGCGACGGCCGGTATTGGCGAATGGGACGCGGGATGGTGCAGGTGGGACGAAGGCGGCGGCGGGGGCGGTGCCGCGCAGGCAGGCGACGGCGGCGGGTACGCGCCTCCCAAAAACGTCTTGCGGCAATTCTGCTGCATCGGCTGCAACATGGACGCGGGCGGCGACGAACTGCAATCGTCCCGGTTGTTGGCGGTCCAACACTTGAACTGTATGGTACACTTGTTGGTCAGCGTAACGTTGCAGGAAATTACGGCCGTTGCCCTCGTCGCGGCGCGCGCCGTGACAGGTCGAGCGGCTGTTCGGCGCTCGGGACGGCTGCGGCGTGGGCGGCGGACGCGGGCGAGTTACGGCATGTGCACAGGCGGCCTCGCGCCGGTCACGGGCCCGTTGTTCTGGAACCACACCTGGACGGCGCGCGTTGAAGCCGATCCGGTCGCGATCCGGCTCAGTCCTCGCGCTTTGGCCGCGGGTTGGCCGCATAGCACTCCTTGAGCACGGCCAGCTGGTCGTCGGCTATCTGCGACCGGACGCGGATCTTGCGGCCGTCCTGGTCTACAGAGTCTTCCTCTTCGGTGGTACACGGCCTGTGCTCGTCGTCGGTGTAACAGTCGCTGCCCGCGTCGTAACCGTTGTTTATGTTGTTGTTGTTGATGGTCGTCTTGCAGGCCCCGGAACTGGCGGCCGCCGAGTATTCCGCTTTGACGCCCAGCCCTTCGGATCTGTGATGGTTCTGGTTGAGCATGTGGTGATGGTTGTTGTGATTGGGATACAAGTTGTAGCCGTGGTGATACGGCGGCGAATCGCTGGTCACGCTGGGGCAACCGCCCGACGAACCGCAAGACGGCGGTGGCTGGTTCTGTTGGTGGTGCAGGGCAGCCGCTGCGGCGGCCGCTGCGTTGGCCATCATCAGCTGTTTGGTTACCGCCGACACGTTGACCGTCTCCAAGAGTTTCTTGACTGCAGCGTCTGTTTCGCCAGCTGTATCTTCTTCGTCCGCACCACCGCCGTCTTCACATTCCTTCTTCACCACGCTCACCACGTCGATCACGTTGTCGTACTTGTCGTCGTCGTCATCGTCGGCCTCGTCCTCTTCGTTGAAGTCATCACCGCCACTCTCTTGTTCCTTGTGATCGTCGTCTGTCGTTTTATTCTTGTCGTCGCCGCTACAGCAATCGTCTTGCTGTTGTTTGTCGTGTTCGTGTTCTTGTTCTTGTTCCTGTTCCTGTTCCTGTTCTTGTTCTTGTTCTTGTGCTTGCTTGACCATTGCCGACTGCATCAACGATGGCTGCAGAAGATCGTGTATGTTGAACTTGCTCTGAGTGTTGAACAGTCCTGGGAAGTAGATGGCGGCCGCGGAGGCTTTCGGTTGTGTGTGATAGAATGACTGTTGTGTAAGCGATTGCACTTGTGTTGGGCTCGGTTGTACCACTTGCATGTCGTACTTGGGCGCTGAAGACGGCAACAGTGGCGAGAATGAATTGCCACCGGCACCAATACTGTTGTTGTTATGGTTGCTGCTGTTGTTGTTGTTGTTGTTAGGAGCTGGACGCTTACTTGGATAACCATTGTTCGGTTGATGGTGAGCGGCGTTCCGGTTGTTGGCTTGCGATCCACGGCCTCCCATTTTTAGATTTATGATCAGACACTTCTTGGAGGTCATGTGACTAGAATACGAACCGGAATGCGAGAATCGTTTTCCGCAGTTGGAGCACTCGAATGGTTTTTCTCCACTGTGGATGCGAATGTGTTCCTACGAAAACAAAATCCCAACAGTTTTTTAAACTCAAAAATCAAATAATACGACACACGGACATGTCTATAGATGAATTCAATCGTTTATATTGGAATTGTTATTATATGCAACCCAAATAAACGAGTTTTCGCGGCTCTTATACGCCAAGAAAATTAAAAATCAAATAAGATACGTATAAAAAAAAATACATAGATACTGGTACATTAGTATGTTCGTTATAAATAATAATATACAAAATATAAATGAGAGTATATAGTTACCTTGAGATGATGTTTAAACTTGAACGCTTTTTCGCATTCGGGACATTTGAATTTGCGCAGCACTGCGCTCTCATCGTGACTTATCATGTGCCTTTGGAGGCGGTAAACGTTGGCGAACGTTTTGTTGCACACCTTACAAGACTGCAGACGAGACAAAACAAAAAAAAACACGTGTGAGTTATTAAGAAGAGTAGCTATTATTTTATGAAGGTTCGCGGGACACACATCGTACGAGCTGCTTGGATATAAGTATATAACATACAAGGACAGGGTCGGGCTGCGTATAGGTAGACGAAAGAAAGAAAGACCATATAAATATGGAAAGAAAAAAGAGTGGCGCGTAAAATCTCACGACCAAAAAAATCTTCGTAGGAGTCCTAAAAATCCCATGCCCGGCGACGACGACGACGCCTTATTAAAAATAATAATCAAACGAAAAAAGCGCCGTTTAGAGAGAGACCGTCAACGTGCGGTTATAGTATAGACAAAAAAAAAACTAGGAGTATATTATTATTATATAGAATGAAATACGACGAACGTCGTAAAGGTATGACGTCAACAACGTGTCACCATGTGTTAGAACGTGTGGTGTGTATGTGTGTGTGTATATATAATATATATATATATATATTATAATGTAGTGTGTATACACATATATATTTGTGTATGTGTGTACACCGTGTTGTATAATACACAGGCACAGAGTGCATTGCAGTAATCGTGAGAAACCCTAATGGCGACAGGTTATACGAAAATCGTTATATAATTCCATGTGCCACCGCCACACCATGATAACATGACGATCGGTTAATTTAACTGCGCCTCGCACACATGTACACATAATATTAAATATACATGTATATAATAACAGTCGGCATCGTCTTTACCTCATCTCTCGTCCTCTCTCCCTTGCAGCCATTATCCCGTTGGTATACCTATATGTGAGACTGTACATATTTGGGATACTTATGGTCTGTATAATATAAACTTTTTTTTTATTAGGTGTAATATTATTATATTTCGGGTCACACACACACACACACACACAAGCGCGCGCCCGCATTTTCTGGCAACACCTCTTTTTTTATGTCTTTTATCAAACAGGCGGGAAAAAATATCCGACAAAATATAAAATAATAATTATTATCAGCTGAGGCAGACGTGACAACGCGACTATCAGTGAATGGACTGTATTATAAATATATTATAATATATTATATAGGTACCTAATGGTTCAAGCACGCACTGCGGGACACAACTTTATTTTATGCGTTGATAGTATTATACATTATAATATATACAACATACTTATTAATATTATCTCTCTATCGATAAGTTATACAGATAATAATAATGCACGACTGTATGTTATTATATCTATTTTTTTTTTTTTTTTTGTAAAGGCCATGTGGTCCTGCATGTGTTTTGCACTGCCGTGTGTAAAATATAATAATAATGAAATAATAATGTATATGGATATTATATATAGTATACGTTCGACTGGTACATTATAGCTGATATCCGGTGAAGCTGTGTCTCCGCCCCCAAACGAGCGATAATCCATTATACAAACGTGTCAAGCATATATGTACCTGCTATAGTATACGATTGCAACAACATTTATTGTTCACGGAAAATAAGGAGAGATCTATTGACTTTATAAGGGGTATAAGGGTAGGTATATATACCATATACATATACGTGATCATGTGGGTGATTCGTTTCGGATGGAAGGGAACGAAGAAGAAAAAAACGACCGTCATGGCGAGATTTTAATGGCCATCGTCGGTCTTCGTCGGGTAGGTACATGTATAAAATAAGTACCTACACATATTACATAATATGGTGATGGTGATGCCGACGAGAAGAAGGACATTTTTTCGTGGCCCGGCGCGCACGTCGATTCCCTTTGTGAACTATTTGGGTTTTAAGTATATATGCACGTTTCCACGAACGGCGGGAGGTAACAATAATATATATATTATACACGACAAGGGATCGGAGACCTACACATCTGGACGGACCCCGAAGAGTTGCATCCCGCAAGTATAGACTCGGCTTGGGGGTCGAGGGATGGGGTTTTTTTTGTTGAGATTATGTTGAGAATAACACCTTGCGGTGGATCCTCCCGTGCCAAGGTCGGATTTACTGCTGCATCAGCACCATCACATAATTATATTATTATTATTATTATTATTATTATTACTATGCTGCAAGACGCGCTGGTATTTTTCTTTTGACCCCCCAAAAATATTTTCTGTTCTTTTGTCCGAAAATATATTTTATACGAACTTACTCCAAAACCCGTCACCGGACCACACACACGCGCGATGGCCCCGAAAAACACGGAGAATGTGTTCAATTGTATGCGAGTCGGTCACACATATAATACTCGCACGCACGCGCACCGGATTTTAGGTGTGTTTATTTTATTTTTTGTATATATGTGCGTGTGTGAAGATATGTACGTTCTCAGAGACGGGTCGTTTAAAGTATATTATATTAAACATACACATACATTATATATATATATAAAGGTTATTCAGGCCCACAGTGCTACTTTCATGGCGTCCTATAGTCATCGCGCATGTATAGAGGTGTGCCAGGGCGAGGTCACTACGAGCGTATATGTATATATAAGATAAATAAATCATTCGGAATATAATGAAAATAAATAAATAAATAGTATACCTCCGCGGAGACCGACCAAACCATGCTGTAACTGCAGCATGTCGACTATAATATTCATTACACGCTTTTAAAAATGCTATTAAATCGTGGAAAAACGTTGTAGGTATATCTATATGTATACTATTATAGTACGTGCTATAACACGTGATATTTATCTGCAGCTTAATGCGACGCAGGGTGATTTAGAATTTTTTAAATTTTTTAATTCATTCAAGAGGATCGTGTTAATAATAATAATTATTAAATATAATTATATTATGCGTGTGTCTCATGTATAGTATAATTGTCGAGAACTGTATAATGTTATAAGCGCTTACCACTTGGGCATTGGGCGAGTGAAGTAGTTCATGTTTTTCAAGAAGGTCACGATTGCCAAAAGCAGCGTTGCACTGCAAGCACCCGTATTGACCAGTGATTGCAACTGTTGTTGAGGGTGGCGAAGGCGGCCGGGCTCGACATCCGCCGTCCAAGTGTTCCTTTAGCGATCCCAAGTCAAACGATTCCCGACAAAACGGGCAGTACTGTAAATGTTGCTGCTGCTGTTGTTGCTGGTGGTGTAAGTCTTGGTAGTCCTTGAGAAGACCCTCCAGACTCATCCCGGGTAATGGAACTGCGAGCAAAAAAAAAAAAAGTCAAAAATTAAAATAAATAAAAACCGACCGGAATACACAAACAAATAAATACGTTAAATCTATAGATACCGAACACCTATAATATAATAAAATACGCCTACACACGCTATTTATAACAATACGATGTAATATTATAATGTGCAATTGTATATTGCGGCCATTTGTGTGCGGTAAATTCGGTCAACGGGTGGTTGCAGGTATACGATATATAAAGTACCTGTTGTTCGTGAATACGCATTGTTCGCCGCGCCAATGACACGAGACGGCGCGAGTAAAGGGCGTGATGATCGCACCTGCCCAGTTGTTCGTGGGGGGTCTTGCGCGCAGGTAATGTTAACCTTCTAAACCAATCAGGTGTGTTCGTCCACCTATCTATTGTTATACACGTCGTCGTCCATCTTACAATTTATGTCATTATTTTCAAAGACGCATACATGTCTGTTTGGGGGAGAACGACGATAATAATAATTGTCGAATCACACTCTTATAAATCTATGAATCAGGTCTAATGATACAGCTACGTTCCGATTTGAAAACATTGGAAATTTATTTCTGTGAGGAGTCCGGACGACTATAATATTATTATCTATGTTTCTCGAAGTTTACAGTATAATATTACGCTGTGCAGTAGAGTATAATTATCTTTTATACACTGACTTTACAACAATTACATATTAATATGTATTATATTATATACATAGATATGAATGTATATAATTATTATAGGTACATTTAAACATATACATATATTAAATCATATTATTTGTACATAATACCCGAGACAACGAACTACATTATATATATATATAATATATATATATATATTATACCCATATAATATTTATAAAATATGATAGGTATATAAAAGCGTGTACTGCGGGTGGTTAATGTGTTTTAGGTTCGACCGGATGGAATCCGGTCACGGCGTTTTAACGATCTTTCGGAGATATATATATGTATATATACAAAAGTGTATATATTTATGATCATCGGGCTAAATCGTTCGCGGGTTTGTTGTATATTTTTCTGTTATACACGTGTAAAAATATACACACCATACGGCTGTATGAGTTAAATTCACGGTTTTAATATTAAATAGTTTTAATGTAAAGAAATGAAGTATATAGGTATAAGTACATATATACAGTACAGCTGATCAAATCAATCGGTGCATATGCAGTGTAATATTATACATATATATAATATATAGTCAGAAGTACGTTAAATATATTACTAACTATTAAATATATGTACGTATTTAATTTAATATGCCACAGCAGTGTATGAACGTTGTTTTCTCAACGCACACACACGCATATATATTTATATTATATAGTTCCTCGTACACGTTTATCGCGCGGCATCTGGCAAATCGTGTGATCCACAAATACACGTAATATAACACAACATACATATACCTATACCATTAGGTAATATTATTTTTATACCATTTTTATACCTACCCAATATGTGTATTTCATTAATTATTATGTTTGTATAACATATGTAGCTAAATTATTTACGCGTGTTCAATATAATGTCAATAACTATTCGTCAATTTAATATAAATGCATTTAATCGTATAGATGATATCTATATTTATAGGTCATATTACATATAGGTACGCACACAGTCATATGTTGCAGTCATGTACGTCAATCATTCGTACATATTACAATATACCTATTAGGTAATATGTGAATAATTTATATTACATTTAGGCACAATAAAGCAGTACAACTTATATATATAGACAGTCGTATATTTTGTGTGCAAAATAAGTTGAAATAAATAATTACAGGGAAATTCGTTAGAAAGCGTTACAGATAAAGGTCTATTCCATTTATATACCTAATATATTAAGTTTCTACACACATAATCTATATATTTCTCCTTACAATTTTTTATCATTAACGTTATTATTTTTTAAGTTTTACTTTTTTAATGTCCATACATATACATTCTTTTAATTTTATAATAAGTTTTTTAAAAATATTTCAATGATTAAAAATCGAATTTCGAACAAGTATAGTGACTTAATCAATACTCACTATTCATAATACTAAAATTAAAATTTGATGAGCGGAGTATATTAATTCAAATGTAGCATACTTTGCTACTCTACTTCGCTCATCTAAACTTTAAATACTTATAACTTATTGACTATATAGATTATGAGTTGTTCAAAATTTGATTTTCATATATTAAAATATACTCCCAAATATATTTTAAAGTAGAATATAAAATTAAAAATGTAGGTAGGTATATATTATTCTTCACAAAAATAAAGACATAAAATAGTAATTACTATAAGTTAAAAATGATGATAACAAATAAATTGTGAAAATTATTGTTATTTTTCATAAATTTTGTTTTACAATGGCATCATGTACAAATTATGTAAACTTTTTTTTTTTTTAAGTTAGAAATTTTATAAAATTATTGAATATTGTATTGGAATTAGTCAATATTAATGTTAAATTTTTATGTATAAACGCCGGTGAGGACAATATCTACATATTAAACAAATCATGAATTTTATCAGTTCAAAGAATTCGTAATTTTATATAACGATGATATTCCAAGGAACCACGTAAAAGTTTCTAGTTAAATCGCGCACAGAAAAATAAATTACGAAGGTCTTGCATGTACGCGGTTCATTATCGGTATTAGAATAAATTAACAATGTATAATTTATTTATTGTTTGTATACAGTATCATTATAATATATTATAGGTAAGTATCTAAGTATAAAATATGTTTATATAACAGCTAGTTATAACTATACATAATATGTTTTATATAAATATATATAGTTTAGTTATGGTTAGGTATATACTTAGAATAAATATACTATTTACTTTTGAGGGTTCAAATTTTTTAAGACATTATTTGTATTTATTATTATATTATGTAAGCACGCTACACCCAATTATATATAATCGCAGGGACTCGATTTCCAACAATATATAGTGCAGACGACAAAAATCATGTAATATATCGTTTTTCTACATTTATAATAGTATATATACTTATAGTGTTCATCAGAAAAATATTATTTTTAGTTTACTGCACATTACAATAAATAGTATTACACGCGCGAAGAATATATGTGTATATATAATATTGCGTGGAACTCGAGTGTTTTGCCAATATGTGTTTAAACCATTACTAAACAGTATCATTACTCGAGTAATTTTATTCTAAAAATGAAAACGTACAAATAGCTAAATTTATTTAAAAGTTTAATTTACTATTCGTTTTAAATATTTTCCACATTTAAATATCTACAGACTTTTGACGTTAATGATTCCAATAATACACACTACACCTAACTCAAAATATACCTATACTGTATATGTATGAATATTTGTATATATATTATACACGTGAACACTATAGCACTATATGAATATATGTATACTATGATGATGTAAATTAAATATATTTCCACCGGCAGTTTGCTGTTACAGCAGTCGGACGCACACGTTATATATATATATATATATATATATATAGCTATATAAGTACATATCTGTATATACGTTTACGTTTTTACGAGGTACAAGTTATAAGTATATAGTTTTAATTAAAAATATGTGCGTTCAAAGCGTATAAATTTAGATTACATGATTTACGAGGACGCGTCGGTGATTACAATTTTAGCGTCGTCGGATAAACGTCAACAAAACAATATTGAAAAATAAATGTATACATTAAAATAAATATAACATCAATATCGACAGTATATATATTGTATAAATACACCGATAAAAAAAAAAAAAAGAAATAATAAAAACTTGAATTTAATGACGATAGTACGTATATATAATATACAAACGACGCATCGCGCGCCATATATAGAGATACGCGTATTCTACGTAGAAAATGTAATAACAATTATAACATGTGATAATCTTTCATATAGTAATAACATAGGTATGTGAAATTTTCGGTACAATATTATTTATTATAAAACGATGTATAGTTGTATGATAACTTACGTGCATAGTTGCCGTAGGGAAAGGCGTTTTGGAATAGACCGATGACTTGCGCAGCTGTGTACATGACGACGAATTTTACGAGTACCAGGCTGAATAGCGCAATATAGGTAGTTGAAAGCGGACGAAAAAAAATTCCAAACAGACACGATGTTAAATTATATTTTTATACAAAAAATAATAAAATAAAATTAAAATAATAAACTCGACTGTGCACGGGCGCAGCTGCAGGAGTGTATACGGAATTATAAAGACGGTCAGGCTCGACGTCTACCCGACTACTGACTGCAATATTATATGTACGAAATACGTTCCGGTCCTGAGCGCGGTGCATAGGTATACAAAACGAAAAAAAGGAACGTGCGTACCGGACGGTCGGCAGGTACGAAATGATGATCCTAGGAGCGCAGTGCCGGCACACCGTGCGCACGCACACACACGCACACGCACCCGCACACGTACACAATACACGCACGATAGCGACCGGGTGGTTGTGTTATATATGTATATATAATATATAATATGTATTTTTCCCGTATCCTTCCCACCACCTCCTTTTATATTATAATATATATATAGTATCTCCGCCGCCCGACACTTGGTGATTGTGTGTGTGGGGGGTCGACTATCGACGGGGGGAACAGAGAGCCGAAAATCGATCGGTGGCCGTCGCCGCCGCCGTCGGTGCCTCGACAGAGATAATATATCTATCGTTATATATATATATATATATGGGTTAATGTGGGTGGTAGCGGGTGCACAGACGAGCTTTGGGAGCGATCTCGCGTCGTAGTCGTCGTCGTCAACGCCCGACTGAATTTTCTACAATTTAGGTGTATATATATTATAAGTGTGTACAACATATTATATCTGTATATATTACCACCGATGACGAGGAGTCGATGTACAGATATCGTGGAATAATATAATAATAATATATAGGTACTCGTGATTACATATCACTATACGTAGAGAAG